AATAAATTTGTTGGTGTGTGATCAATAATAAGAAATTGTGACTAAAAAAGACTCTGTGACTCACAAAAAATTATCAATTGTGACCTAAAAAATTACTTTGTGACCTAAAAATTATTAATTGTGACCAATAAATTGATAAATTGTGACCTAAATAAGTATTGTGACTCGTAAATTTTGGGATCCGTGACCGATGAACAAATTGTGACTTTCAAATTTTTAATTTGTGACCAATAAACAAATTGTGACTTATGAAAATTTTGAATTGTGACCTAAATTTTTTTGAATTGTGACCAAATTGTATATATCTGTGATCGTTATATATTTATTAATAAAACATATAATTAATTAAGTAATTCATAAATAAATTTAAATAAAAACCTGATTTTTGAAATTTAAAACATCTAACCTTAATTTAGAATTGGTAATAAATAAAAACCTGATTTATGTAGACTTCCCTTTAAAATAATTATAATCGTTTAGAATTTCGCTCACCAAATACCCAAGTATCGCAAGTAAAATAATACCACACCACTGATTTCTACTTTTTGAACAACCCACAAAGATAAGAAGAAAAATCAGAACACTATGCTTATAATTTTTCCTTTTAAAACCCTCTCAAGTCTACAAAAGAGACGAAAAAAAAAAGTCACTTTTAAGGTACACGTAAAATTTACTTGCATTTAAATCAATTTGGCCACTTTTTTCCAAGTTTCAAAAGGGAACTCACTGTTTTGCTTAGGAAACCAATCCATTCCTTATATTTTATTTCCTTTTAAAATTGATATATATATTTTTGGCAATTCTCCCGTTTAAAGTCGGGCATAAATGAGGAAAAGCTCTATGTTCCTGATTCCGTTGTAAATGAAACCTCCGAAACCACACAAAAATCCTCAGTTAAAGTAAGATTCCAACTCCTCGCCTTTTGAGTGAGACTTTGAGAAGAATTGTTCTTTGGATAGCACAATATGACGAAGTTTTGAGTCGTGATCTGGGTTTTAGATAGTTATCCATGGTGTTTCCATCTCAAAGACAAACCTTATCATGCCCCATAATCTGATCAGTCTATTCATTATGTTGTTTAACCATGTCCAGTATTATGTGCCATATATATACGCTACTGAGTGTATTAATGGTTTGGGAACCATAATAGATGGGAGATATGCTGCCCATTGGTGAGGTGACAAAATGTGGTTTTGCCACCTCACCGGTATTTTAAATATCACCAATGAGATGGCAATATCTCCCGCTTACTATTGATACGAGATTAGTCCTGATAATGATTTAGTGAGACACTCAAACATGGGTGGAGATGCTCTCTGATTTCCCCTCATTATTACGTGATTTTTTTTTTTATCAAATTGGCACTACAACAAAAATGGCCATTTGCAACATTAAAAAGGCAACATTTCAACAAATGTTGCCAAAAGGGTCTTTTGGCAACATTTTAGTAGGTGAATGTTGCCATTGGTATTAACAAATGAGTTTTGGCAACATTTTTTAGAAAAATATTGCGGTAGACACTTTTAGCAACGCTTATTAAGTGTTGCGAAAGGTTTTATTTTTAGCAACATTTATCAAACGTTGCGAAAGGCAACATTTATCAAACGTTGCGAAATGTAAGACTTTTCGCAACGTTCACCAAACGTTGCTAAAAGTCATCTTTAGCAACGTTTATCAAATATTGCGAAAAGCCTCACCTTTAGCAACGTTTGATAGACGTTGCTGAATGTGAGACAGTCTTTTGCAACGTTTGCCAAACGTTGGCGTAGGGTATCTTTCGCAACATTTGCCAAACATTGCTGTATCTCTTTACTCTACGACAACACCTTGATTTGCAACACACGTCCAAACCTTGCCGTAGGCGTACGGCAACATTTTTTGAACGTTGCCGTAAGCTGTTTTTGTTGTAGTGTGGAATCAAATAGAAAGAACAGTAAAAGTAACAAACTTATGTAGGATTCTTACATATATGGTCATTGTTTGAACAAAAAATCATTTCCAAACAAATTCATGTTTTTGATAAGAAAAGGGTTGTAAACATAAGACCCCACAAACTTCCATTCACTAATGAATACCAACAGTCTTGAGTTGAATATCAATCATTCTACATAATTCCTAATAGTAATACCTAACATACAACTTGCACAATGCTACATCCTATTTACAAGTTCTGAGAAGTCAGTTATGGACACGACATTCCGCATCACACAAAGTTAAACGGAAGAAAACTATATCTAAAAATATAGAACTATTCTAATATTCTGATCCTGAGTCAGGTTTGATTTTCGCGAACTCGAGGGTCTTTTTGCCTTGAAGCTTGTTAGTGACATAGTGCTTGCTATACTCTCCATGGTTGTATCTTCTATACTTGCACGGGTTGTTTTTATTCACAAGTTCTTGAATTGGTCCAAGTTCTATTTCATAACTTGGAGCATAAAATGTGACAATTGTGAGTCTGTCTTTTTCTTGGTGAGTCACTGCTCTATGCTCCACACTCTTGTATCTGCCATTTGTTAGAACCTTAAAAAAAAAAAAGGAACCATTTAACACTTGTAAAGAAAAAGGAAAATTGCATCGCTGGCAGCGATTAAAAAGTTGGTCATTAACCCTTCATTATAGTTGCAGAATTAGTATAGAAACGGAACCATTTGAATCTTAGTTAAATATTAATGTGGTTCTCATGAACCCATGTTCCACTTCAAATTAGAGTACACTACCTAACTTTCTAAAGTTGAACATGAGAGAGTCATGTGACCTTTTTAACGGAGATTTAGGCGTTATCCATCATTGGAGACTGGTTATACGACTGTGATAATGACCAACTCAATCTTTTTTAAAGGTTAGGACCAAATTTACTACTTGGATACTGAGTCGGAAAGCAAAGGTACAATATTCCAGCAAAAATGAAGAAAATAAGTAAAAGAATTTTTTTGAAGGATGTTATTACCTCAATGGTGTCACCAATATTGATAACTAGAGCATCAGGAATTGGCTGAACTGGGATCCAAGAACTGTCTTTTAGGATTTGAAGGCCAACTGAATTTCCTTTTCCTTGTTGTAAAACTGTAAGGGCACTTCCATCAGAATGGGGGCTTAAGCCCAAAACGAGATCTGGTCTAGGGCATGCTGGGTAGTAGTTCATTCTCACTGCTTGCAAAGCCACACTAAACATTTCTTAAAAAACGTCGTCATTCAGGTTGAGACTGATCGCTATGTACTTCAGTATCGTATCTCTCTCGAGTATACCTCCACAGTTCCACTATAAAATCATGAGGTAAAAATGTCATGTGTTATTTTTGAAATATATGACAAGAAGCATGAGTAGGGTCAATAAAGGATAAAGAATGTAAAGAGTGAGGTGGCTCGAATATATGTTTTGCCCAGACCCTAGACCCTAAGAGGCTTCCGTTTATGTGAGTAACGCTATCTTAGTAGAAGACAAGTAAATCAAACTCTTTCAATCTTCTAGTAGAACGAACCAAATGGAGTGATGGAAAAGAATTCAAATTAAGCAAGATATTGAATATTGGGAATTCAAAAAGAAGAATCTGCATAGGTAAATATCCCTCCTATCATAAGTGTGAGTTAGGGGAGCGAAAAATACTAATTGATGGTGGAAAAGCTTTCCCCGCGAAAAAAGGGAAATATTCAACCGGCCCCCACCCATCCCACCCTTCCAAACAATAATGCATAGAGGAAATCTTTAGCACAATTACCTGAAATTTGATGGCTTAGTTGGCCATAATTTTGGGTTCCTAATATAGTGAGGCTCCAACCCAAGAGCAAACATGTTGCACCAATCCAACTTCTGGTCTTCTGATAAAACAAAAGCCTGACCATATCCTTGTACAGTCCCAGGAATCATAGGATACTTCTGTTTCTCCTCTAAAGGCATCATGAAAAACTCCATAGCCACTTTCTCTATACTATTCAGCAAATCCACATCAATTCCATGGTTTATCACCTGTCATTAGAGAGTCATCTTCTTAGTCATAACCGTCTGGACTAGGGACTGCCACCCGTAAATGCTAAGCAGGGCTCATGGAGCAACCAATGGTAAAAATAAGTAAGAAGTCAAATCAATTAAGTCTAATACCTGAAAAAAACCCCATTCTTGACAAGAAACTGTCAGCTTCAAGATTTCATTCTAGAATTTATCTTTATTGCCTTTAAAGAGTTTTGACAAATCAATAACCGGAATACTGTTGGTCGAAGACACGATATCTTTGTCAAATTTAGGCCGTTCTGTCGTGTCTCGGATGAATCTCTCAGGAACATGTGATGATTTACTCTTTCTCAATTCTTGAACATCGTCAATGTGGCCTACTTTGATATCAGAAACTGGCATTGGAGCCATTTTTCAGCAGAAACTTGGAAACTAAACAATTTCTAATGTAATGAAAAATGCTGCTTATTTGTATACTCAAGTTAGACAGTGCCAAATATTTATAGGCAATAGTCCATAAGCGTTTGAATCCATTGTGGGTCCAAATTGTTGAACTTTAGGAATTTCAATAATGCATGCTACCGAATTAATTAATTTATAATTGTAGTCAATCTATTGCTTATAATGAAATAACATAAATTATAAGTATTTAAGCATTATATTAATTAAAGTGACTTCACCTTCATGTCTATATTAATTATTAGATTGTGGCTTTAATAAAACAGTTATTTTTTAAAATGTTATTTTCCATATTAAGTTGCTCCTATTCTGCTTGTATAAGGACGAATCCTTCTAAACAACTTAGGGTATGTTTGTGTTGGATGCGGAAGTAGAATTACCCGAGAATTTAATAAACAAGACCGTATATATGTTCAAATGTATATTATATCAAGAATTATGAATTTGAATTTTTACCTAAATTCGATGATCAATTCTTGAATTAATTCTGAATAATAAACTTTTAGCTTTTTAATTTTAAGTACTTGATGCTCCAAACCTCCAAGCCTTCTATGATATTCTTCTAGCACATCTCTTTAATAAAATCAAGAAACTAATTATTTTACTTGACAATGAGAAAATATCACTCTCTCCAAATTTGAACACTATGGAATTATGTATTATGATTGTTCTAGAATTTTTATGTCCATCTAGTATCTATTTATAGAGATAAAGAAGTTGCAATCCATGTAAAATAATAATTCCAATTTCTTAATTAAAATCCAAATAGGAGTTTTAATTAAAGTCTACGTTCAATTAGTTTACATTTAATTATATGTGTAGTCCTAGAATTTCAATTACAATTAAGTTTACGGGGACCTGATGAAACATATATTATCCAAACTCCAAAAATTAGATCCCGCCTAGTCGACCATAGGCCACCCAATTTAATTTTCATCAAAGGTAAAAAGGCCAAATTCTTAGAATATATAAGATTACAAAAGTCAATATCTATAATACTTTCCTCCAACCTACCCTATATGTATTTTATCGCCATCCGAGATTCGATAATTAAGTACAAGCATAAATGACCATTTTGCTCATCTAATTATTCTCACAAACTTAAGTACCATTTTCTTCTACGATCATGTGAATTAATCACAGAGGTCAAAATTTAGTTGTTGTTCCACACTGAGCCTGGATTTTCATTGTTCAACAGTAAATATTTAAGTCGTCACTCTACTCATTTTTCAGGACGACGATTTGCTGTAAGAATTTATATTCTCTACTTCATTCATTCTGAAGTTTCCAACTCACTAATATATTTGACCAATCAAATTGATCTCGTCAATCGGTGAATCAAAGAATCATTAAAATCGGGAAAACAATATCCATAATTTTATCAAGTGATTTAGATAGAATACACAACGATCAAGTGAAATTTAATTATTCGCACGGTCATACTATAGAATTAAACTCGATACGTGGTCCGTTCAATACACTCCAAGTATACTAATGTCACATTTAACTATTTTTGTGAGAAAGACAAATCACAGACCCGAATAGTGAATCGATCAATACTTCAACTTTTTTGTATAAGGTGCTACCATTATATATTAGTTGTAAACAAATTATTTATGATCAAAATATAAGTTGTGTCACACTGTACTTCTCAACGCAAGTAACTAACTTATATCATCACAAGTGACTATAGGCACTTTAATTCAAATGTTCAATAATAAATACATAAAATCACAATTTATTTATTATAAATTATTATTTTATCATAGCGAAATATAATCTATGGGCACACAACCAAACAATTTGGTGTGCAGTAGTGGACAACGATGCCAGACGATATATAACACTTCAATTTCTTTTTCTAATTTGCTCTTACCCACGTGACAGCATATCAAACAATATTCCATCAGTTTTAATATTGTTTAGTATTGAGTAGTCCACCTTAAGATTTTAACTTATTTCATATATAGTTTGTCCTACTTGACTAAAGGAGGGTTGCGCTAGATTAACCGTCATCAGTTAGCAAAAAACCTAAACAGAGTTCAATTATAATAGTTGAGTTTGAACTAACTCTAAATACATGGGAATGTTAGTTACATGTGCACAATGACTAATCACTTCATGTTTGTTTGTAGTGAAAAATTGGACGGAGGAAGGTTGGATGGCTAAAGGGGAATCAATAATTTGCAATCAAGTTTGAAGGAAAAGTAATATTTCAAATAGTTGGCTCTAACGAGTCAATGCATGAGGATCGACACATTATTGAGGGAATTCAAGGGCTGAAAGGCAATTGAAAAGTTCGGTCATTTGCTTGAACTAAATTTGACCAAGTGGAGCGACCAACTGAAAAAGTGATTTTGCTTGAACGAATTTGAATTATTTACGGGAAAATAAGTGGAAATTCATAACTCATGCTTTATCTATCCCAAAATAAAAAATCAGGCCCTAAGGCTTAGAATTGCAAAAATCAAGTTTTTCATGAATTAATTAATTATATTTCATAATTATTATATTAAATTAAATATTTAACTAATATAATATAATTAACCCACCCCACCTCCACCTCACCTCCACCTCACCTCACCTTCGACGACTACTCCGGTGACCGGCAACCACTCAGACGACTGCTCTCAGGTCACAAATCAAAAAAATTTAGGTCACGCAAATCTAAAATTTTATAGGTCACAATTTTTTCATCGGCCACAGATCAAAAATTTTGAAGGTCAAGGATTATTTCGAGGTAAAAAATCTAAAATTTTATACGTCATAGTTTTTTTCATTGGTCACAGATCAAAAAAATTGTCAGTCACATATCGAAAATCGATCACACATTTTCAAGTTGAACCAAATAGTTGGTCACATACACCGAAACACCCCACCTCGATCCGATCCACCACCCATATTTGGTCACACATGACCAAATAATTAGTCACATGCACCTAATAGTGGTCACATACCACCATCACCAGTACTATCGCCACTGCCACTACGGCAACTTGCGACCACCCACCCACGCACCCGGCCACCACCATACCACCACGTCGCCTCCAAAAACCCCATTTTGCAACCCACAAACAAACGCACCACTAAACCATCCCTACCACCTCAACATAGCACCAACACTCCAGAAACCACCCCAAAACATGGAAACCACCACCGCCACCGCTGGACCCAATCGTAAATCCCAACACCACCAAAACATAAAAATAATCACCACCACCACCACTCCAACAACCAAAAAAACACAAACTAAAAACCCAATTAACTGCACACACACCCACACACACAACTCCACTCCGCCACTGCGCGCACACACACATACCTAGGGCTGTTAATGGATTGGATTTCGATCCGAATCTGACGAAATTAATGGGAGATGGATTTATGGTCTCACTTTGATAACTCGATCAAGATCCGAATTCGATTATCCGTTAACTAAATGGATCAAATATGAATATATGTCAATCGGATCCTATTTGTTATAAATAATTGAGTCGTTAAAATATTTTTATGGCATATTATTTGTCACTAAAATAAATAAATGAGAAAACAAATAAATTTAAAATAAGTAATCAAATTCAAAACATAAAATTCAACAGTAAAAATGCATTATTACTCCTAAAATGTGCACCAAACAGGGGCTAGGGATGAGATAGAAGGATAGAGAGGGGATAAGAAGATGGAAGTAGGGCCGTCAATGAATTGAATTTTGATCCGAACCCGATCTGAATTCGATTAAATTAACGGGAGATGGATTTAGGGTCTCAATCCGATAACCCGATCAAGATTCAAATCCGAAAATCCGTTAACTAAATTGATCAAATATGGATATATGTCAATCCGATTCGATTTGTTATAAATAATTGAGTCGATAAAATATTTTCATGTCATATTATTTATCACTAAAATAAATAAGTGAGAAAATAAAAAAAATTATCAAATTCAAAACATAAAAAGTTGAAAATTTTACAATTATTAAACCTATTTAAAAATTGAAAAATTTAAAAGCAAAAAAAAAGTTGATTTCAACTAATATGTTAAAAACCGACCCGGGCATCGACCCGGAAAAGGAAGAGGGTCAAGGGTAAAAAAGTCGAATCAGGGTTGAATCGATATCGAACCGATTGTCAAATTGAATAAATAATTATACACATAAATGTAAAATATTATAAAAACAATAGTTTTTTTTTAAAAAAAAAATTTAGTTTAGTAAGTTAAAAGTAAATAAATATTTATATTTTCTTAATCAAATTTATTATTGTAACTTATTTTACAACTTCAAAAACTAATAATTAATATGTAATAAATAATTTGATTTGTTAATGGAAATAATGAAATAATATATTTATATTTAGAATTGAAATTCAATTTTAAATTATCTCATATCGAATGTCAATAAAAAACTAAAAGAGAATATCTCCTTTAAAAAGAAATATCATAATGGTAGAAGTCACTATTAGGCTTGCTAGTAAAAAACTATGGGCATCAAGTTAATTCAAAATTTTTTAAAGAACATTTTTTTCCTAATTTTTATTAATTTAGAATAGGATATCCTATAACATAGCAAATCAGATATGAATTTAATAATCAAATATCCGTTGGATTATCGAATCGGATCAGATAATTTTCTTATCGGATTCGGATCGGATATAGGCATATCCGATCCATATCTTATCCATTTACAGCCATACACACACCCATCAGGTTTTCATTCATAGCATGCAGCTGTGAACGGTAGCGTCACAGTTCACATCAGCGTGCACGTTGCCGTCCCCAAAACCACTTCCATATCGTCGTCGCTACAATAGACTCCAGCGTGCAGCACCTTGTTGAGAAAAGTGAGAGAGGAGATTCTGTTGTGTGTGTGTGTGAGAGAGAGAGAGAGAGAGAGAGAGAGAGAGATGATTTAGGGTTTGAAATTAGGCGGGGTGAGTGTTTTGATGGGTGTTGAA